GTGAACGCTTGGTGCTGATGATGGCTAATGCATCTTGAAAAACTTGGCTTAAAAATTCTTGGGTGGTTAATGTTAAACTTAAGTTGTCCCAATTTATACTTGAATTAGTCATCCTATGGATATGTCTTTTTTTATATTGCTGGTTGTTATCAAATGATTTCCCTCGCATGATAGGAAATTCTGCAGCATTGTATTTTCTTTTTTTCTTGTGTATATTCCTTCCAATGAACTCCTACACTTGTAACTCTTAAAAATCTATCATAATATGGGTGAAGAGGGAAAAAAAAGTCAAAAAATGGCCATGCTGTTGTCAGGCTTATGTACTTCGATGCATCAGCTGTTATTACTGTCATCCTGTCAATTGAATGATATGAGAGTAAAACTTAAGCATTTTTGTTCAAATATAGGCAGCTTTTCTCCTACCTGCTATGTCTGGTATACTGAACAGTGGATTGGCCAGCAGTGAGCTGTCAGGCATTCAAACTCCACAAGGTCTTTGTATTTCTCCCACAAGAGAACTGGCTAGTCAAATTTTTAATGAGGCTCGAAAGTTTTCATTGGGAACTATGCTAAAGGCAGTGTGTATTTATGGAGGGGTCAGTGTTTCACATCATTTGCGACAAGTTCAACGTGGTTGTAACTTTCTAGTCGCTACGCCCGGGCGACTCAAGCATTTTGTCGAAGGAGGACAGGTGAGAGAACATGTGATGACCTGATTATTGAAAAAAAAATGTGATAAATTGTAATGAAACATTTGAATCATTTATCCTTATTTTGCTTGCATATAGGTGTATTTAAGGAATGAGGAGTGGGAAATATAGGCAGGGTGTGAGGATCCTGGTTAAAACACGAAGGGGATGCCTGTCATTACAGGAGAAGTAAAGCAGAACTTGATTACTAAAGACACCTCATGATAAATTTCTCATAATGCATAACATAATTTGATGTATTTGGTTGTTTGTGTTTGGGTACTAGGTTTCCCTTGAGAAGGTTCAGTATCTGATTTTGGATGAAGCAGACAGAATGCTTGACATGGGATTTGAGGCAGACATTCGGAAAATTGTGGAGACACTGGGAATGCCTGAAAAGACAGAGAGACAGACTCTCATGTTCAGTGCAACTTTCCCTGAGGAAATTCAACGCCTGGCTGGTGACTTCCTCAATGATTACTTGTTCTTGACAGTAGGAAGGGTTGGTGGTACAACATCAGACATTCAGCAGACAATCTTGGATGTGCCAGAAAATCAGAAACGAGAAAAGTTGACTGAATTACTCAGCTGCTCAGGTAAAGATGCAAAATCGAAATGATGGATACTCTATTCTACTTTATTATTTTTTTTTTTGGCAGTAGTGAAGAGTTAAGAGTGTTAATCATTCAAAAAGTCTCATTTGCACTGACTTGAAAGACTGTGAAAAATATTGCATGATGCACCTAACTGTTAACCACATGGCATTTGTGGAAATAAGAAATGTGTCAAAGAAAATAAGCAAGTCTTATTAGTGATAATGCACTAGTCTTATTAGTGATATGCACTAATGTCTCTCTCGCTCAACTCTGGATGATAAACATAATGTAAGGAACATGTAACAGCTTGCAACGTGACTGCCAAATGCAGATCACCTATATCTTTTCAGCTTGACATGACCACAGACTGGTCATGGCTTGGAGCATTTTGAAAGTTGCCATCATTCTAGTAACCACAATTTATGTCCTATTGCCAGGTACTGATAGGACCCTTGTGTTTGTGGAATCAAAGCGTGGAGCAGACTTTCTTGCAAGCTTGTTGTCGCAAGAAGGATTTCCTACTACAAGTATCCATGGGTAAGTTGGAAATCAATTGATATATGTAGTATACTCAACCAGAAAAACAACTGGGATGGTACTTAAGTCTTTTGGCATTACACTTTACATCATAATCTACCTTTAGTAAAATGCTGTTTTTAGTTTACAGACTGAAAATGAAACTTGATGAATGCATCTGATTTTTTGAAGAAAGTTTTTTTTATTTTAAAGAGTCTATCTTAAATTTGGTCACAGTACCACCAAGAAATGTGCACTAAACAATCTGCAAACTAGTGCATGTTGTCATCTGTGTTGAATTTTTATGGCCAATTTCTTTGCTTTCCTCTATGGGAGTTCAAAAAATGTTGAAACAGAAATAATTACTTGATGTGCTCTCCACCAAAATGTGGGCAATATGGTATTTTTATCAACAGTTCCTTAGACCCAGGGTTGGAGCTCAAGGATTATTGTACTCTTCATCTGGCCATACAACCAAAAGGGAAGCTGCCTTCTGAAAAAAATTGTTTTGGTTAAAATTCTAGATCAATGCAACTCTGATTAATTCTTTCCATAGGCTAAAACATGCCAGAGCTGCCACGCTTTTCAACTATTGCTTTAGAATTTCTGTGAGGTAGTAGAGATAGATGATTTTCACCCAAACCAAGGATTAAGGAGAGAAATTGTCTTCATAGTCCAAACTACATGGGGCTTCAAAGAACAAATTAAATTTATCAAAAGCTATGTTCCCAGGTTTTCCAGAACCTTTCTAAACTGGATCTGCAGTACTGATTGTGAATTTCTATGTACAGTGTTCAAAAAGTGAAAAAATGTTAGAAGGCAGTTTGTTTTGTTTCCAGTGATCGCCTTCAGCAGGAAAGAGAGGAAGCTTTAAGGGACTTCAGGCTAGGCCGCTGTCCAGTTCTTATTGCCACAAATGTTGCTGCCCGTGGCTTGGACATAGATGATGTCAGGCATGTTGTCAACTATGACTTGCCAAATGAGATTGAGGAGTTTGTGCATAGAATTGGTAGAACAGGACGTATTGGGCATGAAGGCAAGGCTACAACTTTCTTCCAGAAGGGAAAAGACGATAAGATTGCCAGGGCACTTGTGAAAATTCTGTCTGACGTAAGTAGTCTTCTTCTTCATGTTTTATGATTTTGTTTTGTCGTGTTTTGTTTATTTGCAATATTAGTAAGTTGTTTCATTTCATGTATGTTGAGTAGGACTTGAAATTTAGCAGTTCTGTTAAAAACCAATGTTATGATCATAAACGACCCAAGTGCTAAACAGCATAAATTTACCATCCAGAGCATATCTTTGGTTATCTGGCCACTTAGAGTGCAAATTTTTTTTCATTATCCAGTGGAAGTCGGTCTTTTGTAAGTCATCTGTCTACCTTAAAGGCAAACCTTTATCAAGGCACCATTTTTTTACCCAAAATTATGAAATTATCATCTTAGTTGATGTTTTAGTGTGTACAGTGTTGTACTCCAAGCTATTCTGTGGTAAGCATCTCGAATCCAAATTGATGTAAAGTAATTCTATGTTATGGCCTGAGTTGCTCTGAAGAGTTGTAATTTCTTCTGACTTGCATGTGTTCTTTGTAGGCTTCACAAGAGGTGCCAGAATGGTTAGAGGAGATTGCAGAGAGCGCAGTAGGCACGAGTTATGGCCCAGCAGGAGGTCGTTTTGCATCCAGAGACACCAGGAAACAGGTACATTAAAAAAACATTTTGACAACTTCCCATGGTTTTACCTTCGTGGAACAATGAACCCTTTACACCATAACATCAGTATGCATATTCTACAAACTTTTCTTTGCACATTTGCTCTGATGCTGATAAGGAGAACTTCTTTAACAATCGAGAGCTTCTTGAGTTGGTGATGATTTTTATTATTCATGTGAGCTCAATGATTGTTGTAGGGGTGATACTGCAAGGGGTCAATGTTAGTTTCAATGATGCACCTCTGCTTCAAAGAAATAAAATGGCCCCAACTGCAGTAGTATCTGAAAATCTTTGTCTCACCTGCACATGTAAAACAAATTCAAATTTTGTGTGCAATGTTTAGAGTGATCATTGAGTACCTATCCTATCCATGTTCTTGAGTTATCATACACTAAGAGAGATTTTAACACATGGTTATTTGAAGAGCAAAGAGCAAGATGTACATTTTTATTATTACATTATATCAATTGTTTTTCACCTTTTTTTAGCCTCAGAATGTTCTAGGTAAATAATGTCGTCAAGATGTTAGGAGTTTCTTGTTTATATTCAGTGCAGTTTCCCACTGCAAACAGAGATAAGTAGTTAAAAATTCTAATTTTTTATAGCTTAGCAATGTCTTAAACCTTTGTTTTGATCTTTGTGGTAGTTTGGCAACAGTGATGGCTGGGGAGGAGAGTGGAATAGTGAGGAAGCTAATACTCAAACCAGCCAGATTAATGGCACTGCTGCCTGGTCTTCAGCTGGTGGTACGGAGGAAGAAGAGTGGTGATTTTGCAGCTTTGGATTATTTGCTATTGTTCTGTTTCATGCCATCAAGTGGCATGAATACAGTTTTTACATTGGTTACTTGGTTTCAGTTTAGCATTATTGAGAGTTTATTGGATTGGATACATGTACTTTACCTTAACGTTGTTGAGCTGAACTATAATGGATTGGAGTTACATACTATTGACAACAGCTGGTGTCATGCCTTGGCTGAAAGATGAGGGGAATAAAGACTACTGCAATTATTTCTTACATCACAGTGAACCAGCATGTGTGATGGAACAAGGGTAATTGAAAAATATAATCACTGGATTCATCAGAGCTGGACATCTTCTGTTAAGTTCCAAACTGCTCATCTCTTTTGTTGTGCAGTTGTTTTGGAACATTGATAGTTAACAGAGTTGTCACTTTATGAAAAGTGAACCCACTTCACCAGAAGACTACATGTAGCTTTTACATGCTGCAGTCTGTGATGCACCTGTCTGGACTGATTACTACCTACACTTTACATAGGAGAATACTGAAAACAAAACTGAGATTTCACACAGGACAAAACATGCCACAGCTGCAATGCAGGGTATTAGATCAAGGAAGTTAATGGCAGGGAAAACTGTCATTAACTAGAAATGATTATGAGTTAGTCATTCGGATCAAAACCAGCCTAGACTTGCCATCAAGGCTTTACAAGAGACTTGGCGGCAGTGTAGCCTGTTAGTGATTTTTTTTTTGCGTGCAGTCATGGGGCATTGTTTTTGCACTGTGCTCATCTTGATATTCATCAATTGCTATGATGCAGTAGCATTGAATGTACAATGACCAACTATTTTCTTGGAGCCTGCTTCTAATTAAAATTGCAGCCAAGGAGCAATAATTTTTTAAACTACTTGAAAGCTGTGTCTCCATATGAACCTAAGAATGGATCTTCATGGGGTGGAGACACTGTACCATCTACTTCCATGGACAGAGAGAAAACAAGAACTATGGCCCTGTACTGCATCAACCCTTGGAATCACCAGGTATTTTACTTGCCAAGTGAGGAGAAATTGTTAAATCCTATGAAATCCAAGTTATTGTAGTGTGGTACCATAAAGGAGTCTTTCAAACAAATGGGCTTCATTCTCCTTGGAATTGATCCAGATAAAAACCATTTTAATGCTGGAGAGTATTTGGGTTGTTGCATTTTCCTGCCTTTGGTTTTGGGTGAAATTATTTGCTATTTGTGCTCAACTTTACAAAGAGGTAGGTCTTGTATTACTAACTGAAAGTCCTCTCACAAGGGGCTGGTGACAGAAAAGTGAAACTTGTTGGAAAAAAATGCTGTGATTGCCCACAACAAAATAGCAGCTTTTGTGGTGTGCTGTAAACAATTGACAATTAACATTGACTTGAACCCAAGAAGCTTCAAGATAGATTGGAGAAATGCAATGGCAAGCTCTCAAAGCTCATGGAATGTGATGATTTGTCAATGGACATGACTAAAACTTTATTGATTGCATTGTTCAGCATCTTGTTCTTGAAGCCCTACATCTGATCACGACATGTTAGCACTATTTGATTGGTTGCAGGGCTTCAACCCAAACTTTTTTTAAGTAAGTGGTACATGTTTACATTAAGCTTTTAAGAAACTGTAGATTTGTTATAGTTGAGTCATAAATAACATTATTTTGAGCCTAAAGGCACATAATTTTGAAGCAAACCATGGAATCATTAAAGATGTTTTAAAACTCTAGTTACCCATTTAGTGTATTGCTGTCATCATCTGTCTCTCAGAAGTGATCAACATGTAACTTCTCCCAATATATTATTATATCCATACATTTTCTAGCAAACAGTTAAAAGAATACTAAAACTTATCAGGAAGAAATTTTTATCTTGATATTACACTAAATTCTCATAACTTATTTACAAGGAATTTTCTAGCAGCAAGAAGAGAGAATTGACGATCAGATCTTGGGAGTAAAAGGGTTAAATGTACTTAGTGACTGGTTTGGTTTGGTTCACTGGTTTTGTTTTGTTTTACTCCAGAAAACCTACAGCACACAACCAATCAGATGCAAAACTAAGAATTTTTTGTTTTAACTTTGAGTTCACATGGGCTCTTCAGGTTTGATTGATGTAAGTTATTCCCTCTGTCTGCATGACTGCAACACCCATCCACATAGAAAAGTAGAGAAACCTCTTCAGTCTGTTAGTACAGTTTGGGTTTCCACCCCACCCTCTTGAACAAAAAGAAGAACAAAACTTCCACAGTAGTATTCTCAAATTATTTACACCAAAGTTTGTCTGTATTCAGCCCACAATACTTACACGAGACATAATATTGATAAATAAACAGAAATTATTTTTTTCTTAGAAATCTTAAAGTCTCCAGTAGTTGATCACTAAGAAAGGTATAGGTGTGTGCACAGCCTCATGCTTGTAGCTGAAATTTAAGTTTTAACCCTCTTCTCTTCAAAAGTAGCAGATAGGTGGTTACATTTCCTTTTGTGGTATCAACTGAATTTTTTTGAGAGGTGATCAGAGTTACAAAAAATATTCATATTAACACTAAACGGCAGAAGCAACATAAGTGTAAGTCAGGTAGTTCGGAATATTAGTTTTATAACTGACATCTTCAAAGTGTGTCAAACATTCTTCAAACCAGATAATGCCCTCCTTTTTTTGGCAGGAAAAGACAAATACTCCAACATTATTTTGAACAGCTGGTACTAAAACAAGATGGCTTCTGGTGACTTTACCAAATTCTCCAATTTTGCAATTCTATAAGTGAAAACTTTCCCCACATCCACAAACTCCTTTAATGTTGGGATTATTGAACACAAATTCACTGGCAAGCTTATCTTCTACATAGTCCATTTCTGTTCCTAGCAGTGATAATTGTGCCCTGGAATCAATATAAATCTTTACACCTGTTGAGAAAAACATTGGTAATCTGAGATAATAATGCAATTTCCACCTTCTGTGAGCCTTGACCTTTAACCTCTCATGAGTGAGCAAGAAACAATTACTCATTGCAGTACCAATACAACATAAATACTAGCAAGTGATGAGAATAAATGAAAATATAAATTGGGGGATTATTAATTTGGTCCAATACCAGATTCTCCAAAGTAACCTCAAAATTGTGTGACAGACAGTAAGGAGAAGTACTAACGAGATCTTGGGAGTGAACCTGGCTAAGTTTCACGATTTTCCCCATTTCTAAGCAGCTGACAAGGGAGATACTTACATTATTCAAGTCATATTTATAGTATTAGAGGGGATAAAAATTAGATAGCTTTCATCAGTTTGCTTCTCATTCAAAATTTGTGCATTCACTTCATTTTTTCTGATGAAGGTTTGTTTGGGAGTCGGTTTTCCAAGTCAAGTTTTAGTGCAAGTGCTGAGTAACGCATCAATGAACAAATTTTGCAAACAAAAATTATGCAAATTTAAGGTTCATCTTGTTACAAGTAACCAAAGGTGTTACGTTTCAAAAGAACAAAAATGTTCGTTTCATTTCTGGCAACTTTTCATCTGGAAGATTTTCGTGAAAAGTGAAAACAACACGATGTGGTCTATATATTTTAATCAACAAACACCTACGGTATCGGTGTTTAGAATTTACCAAGTTAAAACACACGTGACCAGTATTTGCTAAAATCAGGAGAAATTTTTCACTGGAGTTCAGGATCAAAACCTTTTGTTTACGTTCCTCAAAAATGATTATGAAGTAAAATTAAGAGAGATAGTTTTCTCTGAGTTAGTTAGAATTGGTCACGGGCAACATTTACCTCCAATGTTTTTTTTCAATATTTGCTTTTACTTTATGCACGAGATCACAATAAGTCTCGTCTGACATGTGATGCCATACTTAGTCTTGTTTATAGCGGAGCTCGCAGAGCGTAGCCCCATAATTATACAAAATAGTAGTAACCCACCAAGCCGAAAAAATTTGGATGTACTACCGTACGACCGTACAAGGTGCTACTTTTAACATGCGTGGTCAACTGTACCGCGAGCACGCCAACGCCACGGCTTTGTCCAGTAGGTCAGTGGTCGGTGCACTAGGCTCCGAGTCGGACGACCCAGGTTCTAGTCCTGGCCGAGGCAAGGCGTTGTGCCCTCGAGACGTGCGGGAAAAAAAATGCGAGCTCCGCTTTTAGGCTTGGCTAAATCTATGTATTACAGATTTCACTTCGTCGGAGCTACTTTTGGTCAGCATGAATTTATTAGGAATTTACAATATTTGTCTTACAGTACTTCTGTAACTTTAATTCTCCGAAGATCTTCACTTGCCCTTCGGGCACGTAAAGCACACAATTCACTAGCCCAATCGCAAAATCCACTAGCCCCGAGCTATCGGACACGACTTTTTTTGCACGCTAATGTTGATAACAAAAATTGGCCACCATTAGGGGTTTAGATGGTGATGTTTCGAGCGTTAGCCCTTTGTCAGAGGGAACTGCTTACAATTTAGCTTACTTTTGCTAGTTTCGCTTGTTCTTTAGCCACAACATGCAAGAAATGTCTCTAATGCTCATGGTTTTCTGAGTTTTACACGATTCAAGTTTTCCAAAAACAAACTTACCATCTTGACTGACCTCCTCATCAAACTTTCCCTTTTCATTGGCATAATCCAATGTATAAGTGAGGCCATTACAACCTTTTTGTTTGACACCAATTCTTAAAGCAGGCTGGAAAAGAAAAAAGACATTTAAAATTAATTACAAGCATGTAATAGGTAGCGTTTCTGCATTTCCTTCAAACCTAAAGAATCTGAGAATAACCGTACTTTCTCGGTTATAAAGTGCACTCGGTTATAAGACGCACCCCAAACTTAGCAACCTAGTCTAGCCAAGTTCCCAAACTGAAAATTTCGTGAAAATATTCGGTTCTATGACATACCAAAAGGTTAAGCGTTAATAAAAGGCTGTGATAGAACTGAGAACGATTATCGCTACACAGCTGGCATTTGAACTCTTTTGCTGACGTAAATAAAAGTGAAAAAAGTCGCACATTTAATGAGCTACGTAAAAACCAAGGCTAAAATTTCACAACTGTAAGGAGAAACAAAACGCATCCTTGTTTATTTCAGCCTTCCTCCTTAGAAACATGCTTCTCTTTACAAAATTAAATAATAAATATTCAATGATCCGATTTCATTCCAATAACATCAACCGACTGACTTAAAACTCACTTACAAAACTAACTGATATGTTCTCATCGTAAACAGTCAGAGTTTCACTTTAACTTCCTGTTCGATCACAAATATGCTAAGCACTCGCCGTCACTCGTTTGACTTCAACGTTAAGTTAAAAAATCGTTACCGAAGCCGAGGCAGTCACAACAGTCGTGGAATTTTCCCGTGAATACGGCATTTCAGAATCCATGGTGAGAAAATGGCGCAACCGGCAACGTCCTGCTCTCTGGTGAGCTGCGTATGACAACAAAGTGTGCTTCCACAGAACGCTACCGACCGAAGGACCTGTTTTGGATATCATGTTACCGAGCACTTGCTGCTAAGAACATATGCAAATTTCCGTTTGTTTGCTTTTCTATGGAAGTTGTTTAGTGTTCTAAAAGCAGTATTCCTTTTTAACGCAAAGCAATATAGAACTGAATTTGACGCAATCTTCGCTACACCTCAGACCAAAAAGCTCTGCTTTTTCTCTCAACGATTAGTGTCCCATTATTGCCTTTTAACTGTAAAACTCTGCTAAAATTGTGATCTTAAGATTTTGTTGTGCAAAAATACTTGGCTATAGGATGCACTCCAATTTCAGCACTAACTTTCCAACCAAAGACAGAATTTTCTTGAAAAAACTGTGCTCCTTATAACCAAGAAACTACGGATCACATTTCCTTGATCAATGCCAAGGGACCAAAGCCATGGATAGTTTTAATGATTATTTATTGACTATAACATGTATTTAGCCAGTACCATGCTCTCAGTGAGTGGAGGCAAGCAAAAAAGCAGGTGCAATCAAAATGACAAGCAAGCGGGGGCACAGCCTTCTGCATGCGTTTCCCTTCCTCTTCCTATTTATTTCCCAAATTTCATTTTTCTCTTGCATACAGTTTTGCTCATCTGCAATGACTGACAACCTTATGCAGGATATCAATTATTGAGTTCACTTACTTTTGCGTAAGCATGTACCTTAGAAAAACATAATTTTTTTAAAGTTGACACTAGACTATAAGCATGCCTTACATTTTCAGTTTCTGGTGTGAACAGCGACTTAAGTTTTTGTACTGCAGCAGGTGTCTGAAAAATAAATTATCCATAAGTGAGAGTGGTGAAGGATAATGTTCCTGGCCTTTGCTACAAACAAATTGGACTAAAAAGTTTCATTACTTTTATTAACACTTAAACTACCAAGATCTAATTCTTAATTCCCACCTCCAGCTGCTACACATTTCCCTGTTAACTAGTGATGAGAATTTGATGCTGGATCAAGATAACTTCTACCTGTTAAGTTTGCATATCCTCATTATCTGTTTTCTGAATGATGTATCGACATTATGGGGAGAAGTTACATTTTAATTACTTCTACGTTTAAAGGTTCACTGAAAAACAAATGATCCATAGTGAGAGTGGTGTAGGATAATTTTCCTGGCCTTTGCTACGAACAAATTGGACTAAAAGTTTCATTACTTTTATTAACCCTTAAACTACCAAGATCTAATTCTTAATTCCCACCTCCAGCTGCTACACATTTCCCTGTTAACTAATGATGAGAATTTGATGCTGGATCAAGATAACTTCTACCTGTAAAGTTTGCATATCCTCATTATCTGTTTTCTGGATGATGTATCAATATTATGGGGAGAAGTTACATGATAATCACTTCGAGGGGTTAAAAGGTTAACTGAAAAACAAATGATCCCTGAGTGAGAATGATGTAGGATAATTTTCCTGGCCTTTGCTACAAACAAATTGGACTAAAAGTTTCATTACTTTTATTAACCCTTAAACTACCAAGATCTAATTGTTCAGCCCCACCTCCAGCTGCTACACATTTCCCTGTTAACTAGTGATGAGAATTTGATGCTGGATCAAGATAACTTCTACCTGTTAAGTTACATATCCTCATTATCTGTTTTCTGGATGATGTATTGACATTATGGGGAGAAGTTACGTGTTAATCACTCCTGGGGGTGAACCCTTTAACTCCCATGAGCTACCAAGACAGAATTTCTCCTTACAATATCAAAACAATATCAAGCAGACAAGTGATGAGAATAAAGAAAAATATCAATTAGGGGATTATAAGTTAATCCAATAACAAATTTTCTAAATTTACATCACAAGAACTGTATGGTAGACAGCAAGGAGAATTACTAATGAGATCTTGGGAGTTAAAGGGTAAAGAAATTGTCTATTTGACTGATAGACTTCTGTGAGCTATTTAACAAATAGATTCCAAGTTGCCGTGCAGCTGTTCAGTAAGAGATCACAGATGATGTCAAAATGAGGTAAGAACAAAAAAGTGGCAAACAAGGCACAGGCGATTGTGTCACTGGTGCTCATACCACATTTTGACGTCCTCTGTGATCTATTACTGAACAGATGCATGGCAACTTGGAATCTATTTGTTTCATATAATAAAGAATTAAAAAAAGTTTTAATGATGATGTCATCTATATGTCTGTCCTCCAATAGATCATAAATGAGAACCAATCAGAATGTGTGCATAGCTTAGCTTATTATATAATACTGATTACATGGTACTCATTTTGATGGGTTCTTACTTAAGATCCAGCAGAGGAAAGATGATGCAAGGATGATGTAACTATTAATAATATATTACTTTTTTTATCCCCACATTTTGACATCATCTGCGATCTATTACTGAACAGATACACAACGACATTTAATCTAATTGTCAAACAGACCGAAGACAGCATTAAATCTATTTGTTTTTTATGATTAGAACTTAAAAGCGAAATATTAACGGTGACGTCATTTAATCGTCAGTTTAGCCATAAATCAAGAGAGTGAAGGCTTCAGTTCATCATAAAAAAAAAAAGTGAAAAAAAAAGAGATATTTTAAATCGATATCCACTTCTTCGACGTTTTGATTACATAAGATCGTGTTGCGGCGTATATAAATGGGATAAACTAAAATTGTTTGATTGAACTCATTAAATTAAAAGTAGAATGGTAGATCTTTAAATTCTGGAATAGGACGAAGTCAAGCTGTGATAAAATAGTTGAGAGGCCACTGCGAGAAGTCTCTCAAATCGTAAATTTGCCACTGGTAGATATGCAACCAACTTGATGTCACGTAAACTTACTGTTGCCCCGTATGACGACTATTCAATCGTAACAGAAATATTCTACTATTTGTTAGACTTACTAGTGTAATTGCAGCTCTTCTAGCGGCAAATTTCCTCGGCTTATTGACTGCTCTAACCGCCGCCCCTACTGCGGCTCGACCCGCCATGTTAGCTATTCTTCTCCTGCTTGTAAGTTATCATACGCCACGGATTGTGATGTCACACCAAAACCACCTCGGTCGAGAGGGACTGAGATGGAATGATGGACACCTCATGACATGCTATACTAATAAAAAATTATGAAGCTACGAAAACATGCCGATTTATCCCGATCATCTGAGTGTACCATTTGTTTGGAACTGCGTCAAAAATTTTTACCCAAGAAATAGCAAGTATTAATTCATTGCTCGATAGTAGTATTATAAATCATTTGGCGCAATTTTTGCAGATATTTCACATATTTAAATGGTGCTAAGGTGTTAGGTAGTTTTGGTGGATGTTGGGAGTGGACATCCACCTCGCGGATTTCCGAGAATCTTCGGTTATGATTTGCAAGCTATTAAATATTCCATCTTAGTCGCTCTCGACCGAGGTGGTTTTGGCGGATCTAATGCTGGCCGATGCCGACCGATGTTGGCAACTGGTAATCCGCTGTTGTACAGAAGTCTCAGATGTCACGCCTCTATTGTGATTTCGCTGTTTCAGACGTAATTACGTCCACAAATGAACATTTTTGGGGATCGACAACTTGTTAGAAGGTCTGGGGTACTTATTCACGCTGAAGAAGCCCTCCAGAGTAAAGTGGTTGCATTGTATTTCTCGGCGGGATGGTGTCCCCCTTGCAATCAGTTTACGCCAGTTTTGGCGGAATTTTACAACGAGCTTAAAGAGAACGAACTACCCTTCGAGATTGTTTTTGTTTCATCCGATAAAACGGCATCAGATATGGAGACATACATGAAAAAATGTCATGGTGACTGGTTAGCTGTTCCATTTGGAAGCGAAATGATTCAAGAGCTGAAGAATCGTTACCATGTCACAGCGATTCCTAAGTTGATTGTCGTGACAGATGACGGAGATGTCGTGACAACGATGGGAAGGAAAGAGGTAACTGAAAACGGACCCAAGTGTTTCACTCACTGGGCACACGCTATCGCCATAGCAAGAGGAGAAGTTGCTACAACTGTGACTAAAGCGAGTGGTCGCTTTACTGCCGGCTTTGAATAAATTGAAAAAAAAAATATTCAGTCATATAAAGAACCTTTTGATATGCTGTGTAAGACTCGTACAATGGGCTACATGGACTCAGGTCGTTTTTACTCGGACATAAACCGATGCAGGCAATTCATATTCAATTAGTGTGATCATAAAGTAGCAGCTTACATAATATCATTTAACTGATTAAAGTCTCACCACTGTCAAATTTATAAACTCAATACTTATTTATAAACTCGTATGCAGATCCTTCCGTGTATGGCGGTGAAAGGTCTGGCTGTAGACTAACTTGTATATCTGTATCATAATAAAGATTTCTCTTCTACAATATTCCTGCGGTGTAGGCAGTATTTTGCGTCTGGGAGTGGGGTCTAACCCTCACAGCACCCCTTTTTAGGGGGCCAAGTGTATCGCACTTGTTCGGGCAGGAGGCTGATGGCGTGACGAGATGCGTGACAGAAGGTAATGTATCACGTGACTCTTTCAATACGTAAGGGACCCTAAACCGGAATCCTTCGATAACGATGAATAGTTGGAAAGCGTTGGTCCGCTGGAGCTGCATTTACAATCATGTGTGAAATCGATCGTGATAAGGTGCGTAAAGAATTACAAGCGCTTAGGTTAATTAAGTAATTAGCTCTATGTCGTGAACATCTATTCTTCGATGGCGTGAGATTTGTGAAAATTTGGGTCATTCTGCTGGAGCGCTCATTCTATGGAATTAATTAATACTAATCCACTTTCATTAGTGAGACTTAACAGTCTTTCGTTTTGAAATGGAAGGAATTGACTAGACAACGGAGAGCTATATGTCGTTGTAATCTGATTGTAAAAAGCAGAATTTTCGACCAAGTGGCAATATCATAGGCACAGAACATCTGTTTACATTTTGTTGAAACAATTGTTCTCAGCCTATTTAGTTATCCGTCGTTCTTCTAAGACTATTGGCAAGATGGACTTAAAAGGCCTTGCCTTAGAGTTTCTTATTTGCTTTACTTCAAGATTGTAGCATGTAGAACTAGCGCTCATCGGTTTCTACCTTGAAAGACGTGGAAAATTTACGTTCACAAATGCAAAAACAAGGGCGCCGAATCTTATGTAAATCATCAAGAGAAAAAAAAAGCAATTATTTGTCGAGCCGAAATTGACAGAAGGCGTGGTCAATAAATAACTAAGCCTAACTTGAGCAAATAATACTGGATATTAGAATCCAGCTGTCTTCTTCACGTTTAAAAGGGCACCATTTTTAGAAAATTGAATTATAGTGAAATGGTATTTGGCACACGTAATATTGCAGTCTGGGATTATAATCACAAAATCTGTTGATAAAGTGATGTAGGTCTTAATCTTATCATTCTGTAACAAGAAGTTTAGGACATCTTGGTTTCAAGTTTTCCTTTTTGGTCTTCTCAGATAGAAACCATTTCTCTGAAGCTGAGAGCTTCAACAGCTGATGGGGGACTTACAATAAAGGACAGATATTATCATCTAAAAAAATATCATTCTTGCTTTGTGGGTGAGTACCAATAATTATCATTAGTATCAAAATACTACACAAGTGAAAAGTCCTTTTGTGCATGTTGATTGGCTAGTTCGAAAGTGAAGCATGAGCAGTATTTACCTCTGAGCAGCCAATGAGACAAAATCACATGTCAAGAGTTTAATATCTGACCATTTTTCAATATATTGAAAAAAAAAGATGATAGTTGTGTGGTATATACTGAAACAGTTACTCACTTGATAGTTGGTGAAAGTGGTGGTTATTTACTGTACTGCCTCACAGCTTGGTGAATATTAACCAGGTTTCACCACCCCTTCAGTTAATAATTTGGTAATCATCATACATTAGACTTACTATGAAAATTCTGATTGGTTGGGAGCATTCAGTCAACAAACATCAACATAGCATGTGAAGTTGACATGATAACCTAATGCCTGTGGTAGTCTGGTTCAAAGTCTGCTTAGTTTCCAAGCCCCTTGCCGATGTCATGTTCTCAAGCTTTTGCAAACTCAGAGAGAAATTCTGTTTGTGTTAAAAAAATGTAAAATAAAAGAACTATTGAATTTCCTTTTCACATAATATCAGGAATTATCAACCTTGTGTCTGTTTAATCTGCCTTAGCCATCTGCTTCAACAGATATTGATATTTCATGATATCATTCTCAACCTTACCCAATAATTTTTAATTATACTTAAAGTATGTACTATAAGATACATCCTGGTGCTTCTCCCCTCCCACCCCGAATATAAATGGAACAAGCAATGTGATAAGGAAATTTAACCCTTTAACTCTCAAGATCTGATTGTTCATTTTTCTTTAAAACTGCTACACATTTCATGGGAATCTTAAGAGGATAATTTGGAGTAATACCAAGAGGATAACTTCTACCTGATAAGTTTGAGTATTTTCATTACCTGTTTGCTGGATATTTAAAGTATATTTGAGGTAAAAGTTACATGTTAATCACTACCTATAATGCCCTGAGGTCAATTTCCAATTAACTACTACCTTAATATTTTTGCCATAAGGTAGTGAAGCAATTGATTGGTTTCTTGCAAATGGATTTGCAACCACAAGACAGGAAGGTATTCAGTTAGGCCAGGTGAGTGCTTTTACACACACTGTGTAATTCAGGTGGAACATGTAGTACATGGTTACCCACAGGGAATTTTAGGTTGACAACTAAAGTCAGGTTCCAGGTTTGCGACAAAAACACCATTTTGTCCTGACAGTCCTAAGAGAGATTAAGTGTAATGCTTTGAGGACATCTGAACTCTGAGTGCTAACATTGATTTTGGGGGATAAACTTGGAATAAATTTGACCAGAGATAGTACTTCAAGGTTTATTTAAGTGGTTTTACCTTAGGTGGCCAGGTGAAAGGTAATACAAAAATGCCATTGGGACTCAGTTGAGGGTGACCACAACAGTTAATAGAGGTGAAAATTTCAGAATTTAATAAGTGGAAATTTGGGGCTTTGACTTACCACAGCTTAATATCCTGCCACAGATACAACTGTAGTCTAGACACTTAAAAGGGATATTTAATTGCCACATAGGTAGGTAGCCTGCATGGCAAGCGTATTTTCTAACAAGGAAGTGCCAAGTATTCTGGACAGGTGTTGAAACCACATAATAATGAATAGGACTTATTGGAATTATTGGGTATGTAAGATCAAACAAACCATGAAAGGGAAGAGGGGGGAAGTTTATAATTTTTCTGATCAACAGTATATCCCATAAGTTAATTTATTTGATGTGTGTATTTGAATGTAGACTACAAGCAATCCCTCCTTTTGCAGCAAAGTTAACCTCTGTGGGTAGGCTACGTTTTGTGCACCTCACTCCCAGAATTCAGCTTATCAAGAATATTTTTTGCTGTTTTTACTTGTGCCTCAGAATTCACCAAAAAGATGGTCTGTTTGTAGTCCTATTCATTACCTTTAGGAGTAACTAAGGGTTTTTTCACATAACTAAACCCTTTTTTAACTACTGCTAGATCCTTTGTTTTTGAATTTCACATACACCTATCTTTTAATTCTAGCAATTACTAGATGCTGACTTAGTTCATCATGTGGTGGATGAACATAACTTTGAAGATAGGGAATTGTTCTACAGATTCCGGCAAGATGGTAATGAACAAAATGTAGTGCTTTGTTTTACTGATGTTTGTAATCTGTGAATCAGAAGCATGAAAATTAGAACCTCTCCTTCAAACACTTTATGATGGGTACTTAAATAACCTTCAGTTGGTTACCAATCAAGAATTAAAATACCAAAAAACTGGATCTGTTTGACGGTTGTCCAACACCCCCAAATTGAATCGAGTAATTTAAGGGAGTTAATGAATCTACCTAGTGTGATGTTGATTCATGGTTTAGTCATCTTGTGATATAAAACGTCCCTTTTGAGGAGAAAATGTCATACAGGAAGTAGATTTGCAAAGATGCTTAAAAAAGTATTCCTCTACCGTAGACAAATGGAGTCAGATTGGGTGTATTGGAAATGTATGGGCTCTTTATGGGGAAACTTGCAGTCATGTTCAAGAGTGTCCTAAGATTGAAAATTCTAATTTATAATTAATTCTGGGCTTAATAAAACTTTGAAAGATTACAAATTGCTGCATGACAATTTAACACAGATTGCCAAATAAGCAAATTTTTTAGTAAACCTTGAAAATTTAATTCTTTTTGCCAATTTGAATGAAATAGTTACAGCATGGAGTGATGCTCTGAGTTCACCTGACTTCAGCCAATAAGCCCATTTCTCATGCCTTATGCCCTTTTTAAAAACATGAAGCGGTACATGTTTCTATTGATGTATTCTTTGCTCTTTCCCAGATCCTCCCCATCTGTCACCAGCTGGTCCGTCTGTGGCCTCACTAAAACAGGACTGTGGCACCAAGTTTGGTTCAGCGCAAAAAAAGGGTCTTCTGAAATGGTATCAGGCATTTTTTGTTCTGAGACCTGGCGATGAAACACTGTACGAGTTCAGAACTGATTTGGTAAGAGAAACTTAAAATTTGATGATTGTTCGATACTTAATCCTCATAGCTTGAAAGAGCAATTGACTCAGATATAAATTTATACGCGAGTAAAGTTAAGTACAGTAAAAAGCAATATTAATTTACATTTCAAAAGGGAGCATGGCTGGAGTTTATTTTCCTTCTCTTTAGCATTCAACACCAACTAAGAAATATCCATTGAAAGAGGCTACTGTGAAGTTAGACCAGTCAACAAAGTTTTGTCTTTCGCTAACGTTTGCTGATATCCAGAGGTCGGGTAAGTTACTATTTTCTTTTTTTTTTTTTTTTTACATCAGCCTTTGTGTGTAGTGTCGTTTGTTGTGGTGAGAACTAAACAATTTCGGGCACAGCTGTAGTATACGAGGATGTACACAGGTTTGTACACACAGCTAGCGTAGTTTATTTTTCTTTTACTAAAGAATCTTAAGAAATTTTTGTGCAGAGTATCCAGCAAACAATTTGAAAGCATCACTAAAAAAATCTCAGCAGGTTTTTGCAATCTGTTTGATAAAGGAACAATTTTCATATGTGGCACTGGAAGAGGCTGTGTCCATTGGTGATTAATGTAGAATTGTTTTCTCTATAAACTAGATTTGCGGCTTGCCTTCACCTCCGACGAAGAGCAGTTGTCGTGGTTAAAAGCTTTCGAGAAGTCAGGAGCAGTCACTGGCCAAACTGAAGAGGTAAGTTAGTGTAAGACAGGAGAGGAGCAGGAAAAAGCAGGGAGGGGAGGGAAGGGGGTGTGCTTGGAATTCCAAACTCACTAGGGTACCTATTGGGAACCTTTAGGCATGCCAATTTACTCTTTAAGGAGGTATATATGAATGACATTTGTTTCATTTTAGGAGGTGGAGGAACAAGTAAAGAATGCTGAGTCCATCTTTGAGTTTAGTGCCAAAGACATTGACGGAAATGAGGTGTCACTTGAAAAATACAGGTAAGAGAGAAGCAAAAGTCAAGTTTTTTTTTTTTTTTATGTCCAACTCCATCTTTTGAAGTTCATTTGGAGCGTTTGCATAACACGTTTCATGACAGGCACGCAGAGACAAGAAACTAATTTGTCCATGCGCTTTGCAGGGGATTTGTGACTCTCATTGTCAATGTGGCTTCATTCTGAGGCTTAACACAGAAGAACTACACGCAGCTTGTGGAACTGCACGCCACTTATGCTGCACGTGGTCTTCGTATTCTCGGGTTCCCGTGTAACCAGTTTGGAAAACAGGTATGTTACGTTTTGCCTTCTTCCCCCACCCCACCCATCCTAGGGAGAAACATCTCGCCAGAAAAATGGCGAATAGTATTGTTTTTAAATTACTTCGCTCTTTCTGTGATTGCTTTAGAAAACTTGCCCCACTCTCTCAACAAATACTAACAAAGCCACTGCAACTTTGTCAGGGCCTTTTCCGCGCTTAAGGCAGTTGGCTTGTTTGTCTCTGTGTGTTTACCAGCTCCTCGTGATATTTTCCGTCATTCTGACTGGTCGTCGTAATCTCTATGCTGTTGGCTTACTCAATCAAAATGATAATGACTCACCTGGGAACAGACCTTCACTACTATACCAGCGCGACAGGACGCGCGTGTCTCCGCCCGTGGGAAGATTTGAGACGAGTTGGATGCGGGTCTGGCACCACTAGTGCCAGACCCCTAGCAGACTTCTCGCCGGTTCGCTTGACGTAAGGACTCAAACTCTATCGCGGGCTAAGAAACGTTCGTGTCGTAGCATTATTAACCCTTTACACCTTGACATCTGTATGCGTATTCTCCATACTGCTCTTTATACATTTCCTAAGGCGCTGAAAAGGAGAATCTGTCTACCAATCAAAACCTTCTTTTGTTAGTGATCATTTCTTTTATTCTCACGACCTTAACGTGTGATTCAGGGATGATATTGTAAGGAGAAATTTGATGCTAGTCACTTGTAGGGTTTAAAGGGCTAATGGGTACCTTGCATGCTAAATGGTTCGGCTGTCGAGATCTTTTACCTGTTATTTTCTATGAAAGGAGCCTGATCCAGAGCCTGTAATAAAGAAGTTTGCCGCGGGATACGGGGTCCAATTTGATATGTTCTCCAAGATAAACGTCAATGGTGCCAACGCCTTGCCGTTGTATAAATACCTCAAAAGTAGACTGAAAGGAACTTTGGGAAGGTAAGCAGTAGAGTGATAAGTTTCCTATACCTACGTTAGTTTACAGACGTGACCGTCCGATTACGGACACTTGTGACCGTTTCCTAACGGTTTCGTCCGATTTCGGAAACGTCTCTTTGCAATTTCGGACACTTGCGTCCGTTTCCGTACTTTATGGTCTACTTTCAGAAACTTGCGTCCTGTTTAGGACGGTGCCGACAGAAACTTGGCGGAGACAAAATCGGACGCTAGTTTCCGAAATCAGACCGTACCGTTTGACACCAACATAATCACAAATAGGATTCCATGGTGATTTCATTTTCCTTTTTTTATGGGTAAAACTGTCTTTGGTTAAAAACTCTAGTTGACTTAAGCTGATGTTTCTCAAATGTATTTGCTTCTCTCAATTTTTAGCTTTATCAAGTGGAATTTTGGAAAGGTAGGTACGGATCAGTAACTGATCCTTATTGATTATCACCGGATAAAATCCTAAACCAAAAATATTTGCATTCGATTTGATTGGCAGTTGAGACTTCTTTGGTTGATGGTACTCAGTTGAGGTTTGCTTAAAGGACACATTTGCTGATGCTGCATTCCTTGTCCATCTCACAATTCCTGAATCTGTATTACAGGTTCGACTACGCCTTGTGTAATAAATAAATTTCTCATTAACTCCACACATTGCGTACCTTCAATAAAGGCCGGTCTGCGGAGGTGTACCGCCACATATAAGACCTCTTACCGTCCTCTGTTTAGACGCTCGTGTTTGGTTTCGCCTACGGTCCCTTTCTTGGCATACAATCGGCAGCTGCCTATGGAAAAACTTTTAAAACCCTTGTTTTATTGGACGTGAAGTCATTTTCATCAGTCTGCAACTCTATCTGTTTGCGGTGGAACCAGTTGCATTTAAATGTCAGGGTAATTTAGTATTATCGACTGAGTTGGTCATCGTAAAGAGTTCCCAAGCTGACGTTTCGAGCGTTAGCCCTTTGTCAGAGCGAATGGGAATCGGACTGATTCGCTCCAATGAAGGGCTAACGCTCGGAACGTCAGCTTTGAAACTCTATATGGTGACCAATTTACGTTGTCAACTCAGTTAATAATACCAAATTACCCTGTATTACCCTGTTATCCTTTACCACCGACGCAGCACCTTAGTTTCTTTAGAAACTTACCCCCTTCATGCATTAAAATGTCAGTCAAATTTGAAACATTGCGGCAATACTTTGTTCATCTCTGAACACCCTTTTATGGCTCCACAGTTTTTGTGCAACCGAGATGGCAAACCTGTGAAACGTTATGCACCTTCAGTTCAGCC